GCTCCTCCCTTTGCTGCGTCTCTGCAGGAAGCAGGAAGGGCAGGAAAGAGCTAGCTAGCCCAGCTAGGCTGACTCAGGAATTCTGGGAGTTGAAGTCCATGAGTCATAAAAGAGACGAGGTTGCTTACCCCTGAGCTTGTTGGACAACAGCTTGAAGCTTGCCAGGTGAGCAGCAGATAGGAGGGGGGGGGGGAGAAAGAGGGAGGGAGAGAGAGAGAGAGAAAGAGAGGAAAGAGAGAGAGAAAGAAAGAGAATGGGGGAAGAGGAGTGGCAGACCAAGGGCAGATAGAGAGGGAGGGAGAGAGAGAGACACAGAGAGAGAGAGAGAGAGAGAGAGAGAGAGAAACCCTTTTGACATCTAAAATGAAGATAACACTGCATATATCCTTTTTTAACCTGTGTGTGTATGTAATTTTATTCTCTTAAAGCATTCTCTTGGTGATCATTGTTTTAATAGTATGGATATTCCCAAAAGTCATATTTTTATTTTTAATGTGTGTGTGCGTGTGTGTGTGCGTGTGTGTGTGTGTGTGTGTGTGTGTGTGTGTATATATATATATATATATATATATATATATATATTATATACATACATACACACACACATATGTAAGTCAGAAAACAAATATATACATATATATATATATATATATACATACACACACACACACACACACACACACACCTATAATAAAGGTAAAAAAGGATATATGCAGTGTTATCTTAATTTTAGATATCAAAAGGGTTTTGCGGCTCCCGGTGTTTTGTTTTTGGTGGGAAACGGGTCCAAGTGGCTCTTTGAGTGTTTTGGGTTGCCTGCCCCTGGTTTATATTATCCCTGGAGATACTAAATAGAATGATTCAGAAAGATGAGCAGATTAAAGGATTAGAAATCAAGGGAGAAATCTTCAAATTGCAAGCCTTTGCTGATGATCTTGTTTTTATAATTGAAGAGCTTTTACAATCAGGGACAAGGCTAATGGAAGTACTGGGTGAATATGGTGAAATGGCAGGCCTAAAGATAAATAAGGAAAAAACCAAAATGCTTGTGAAGAATATGATTAGAACACAGAAAAACGAATTAACAGATAGATTAGGCATTCAGATCACAAAGAAAATAAGATACTTAGGGATACACTTAACAGCTAAGTGTATAACAATTAAAAGAGACAATTATGATAAATTAATGGAACAGATTAAAATTGACTTGGATACCTGGACAAAACTCCAGCTCTCTTTCATGAGTAGAATTGCCATAATTAAAATGAATGTACTACCTAAAATATTATTTCTATTTCAATGCATACCAATTACACTAGAAAAGGAATTCTTTCGAAAGTTCAATCAATCCATACTTAAATTCATTTGGCAAGGGAAAAAAGCAAGGATTAAATTAAAATTATTACAGGATGCTAAGGAAAGGGGGGGTCTTGGCCTCCCTGATCTGGAAAAATACTACCAATCTAGAATTCTACTATGGGTGCGATTAGAAAATCGGAGATTATTAAAATTGGAAGGTCATGACATGCAGACTGGATGGCATGCCTTGTTATGGGACGAGAAACATAAAGTTCACCAGTACTTCCAGAGGCATACATCAGACGGGCATTAATAGATGTTCAGACCAAAATCCGGCAACAGAATTATAGGCAAGTTCCCAATTGGATCTCGACACTAGAAGGATCATTCAGTTGGGGAAAGTAATAACCTATAAAAACATATTAGATGAGAGGAGTAGAATTAAAATCGAGGAAAAATCTTCAAGATGCAGGGATAGAATTAGAATGGTGGACGTATCTCCAACTACAAGCAAGATATAGGAAAGACCAAAAAAGAGTGGGGTATAAAAATAGAACCGACAGAACTAGATAAAATATTATTAGGTCCCGAGGATAAAATAATTAAAAATATATATCACTTTCTCTTAGACCAGGCAATGTACGAAGAACAGGTCAAGGAGACTATGCTAGTTTGGAGTAGAGATTTTGGTTTCAGTATCGACCTGCAGATTTAGCAAAAACTGTGGGAAAGAAATAGGAAACTCACTCTAGCTACCTCGTACAAGGAAAATCTTTACAAGATGTTCTATAGATGCACTTCCCACCCGCAAGGCTAGCTAAGATGGGTTCAAATATCTCTCCTTTATGCTGGAAATGTAAAATAGCAATTGGATCGTATTACCATATGTGGTGGGAATGCCCAAAGGCCCGTGAGTATTGGAATAGGATACGAAGTTGGCTGAAAGACATATTAAGACTTAGAGTTAAAACCTGAACTCTTCTTGTTGGGAATAACTACAGAGAAATACAATAAGGGAACAATCTATTTGCTGTTACACCTCTTGACTGCAGCTAGGCTTGCGTTTGCGCAAAATTGAAGAGCAAAGAAATCCCCACAGAGGAAGAGTTACTATATAAAATATTAGCATGTCCGGAAATGGACAGGCTCACAGTGGTATTGAAAGACAAATGTGGATCAACTTATTTCGAAACCTGGGATAAATTTTACCATTGGAGGGATTCGAGAAGGATGGTTGGGATTAAAGGTTAGAGTTAAGATAGAAATATATGTTATTTTAGAATAAGTACTGTATAAAAAACTTAGATGTATAATTATAGATGAAGAATCGATTGTAAAATGTGGAACAACTTGATAAGAATGTATATACTGGAATGTCACGTTACATCCAATGTTTTTTAATTGTATTATAAATAAAATTTTGGAAAAAAAAAATTCAAGGAAATGATCTGTTCACTACAGATAGTGTTTGACTTACAACCTCAACTGAGCCACAAATTTCTCTTGCAAAGCAAGACATTTGTTAAGTGAATTTTGCTCCATTTTACAACCTTTGTTGCCACAGTTGTTAAGTGAATCACCGTAATTGTTCATTTAATAACATGGTTGTTAAATGAATCTGCTTCCCCATTCTTGGTGGTCAGAAGATAAAAAAGGTGATCTCAGGACACTGCAACTGTCATAAATATGAATCAGTTGCCAGGCATCTAAATTTTGATTACATGACCATGGGGATGCTGCAACAGTCATGTGAAAAACAATTATAAGTCACTTTTTTCAGCGCCATTGTAACTTCAAACAGTCACTAAATGAATGGTTGTAAGTCAAGGACTACCTGTAGTGGAGGAAGGTGGCAAGAATATGATGTGCAGCAAGGAGAAAGCAGAACTGCTTAATTCCTTCTTTGCATCTGTCTTCACAAAAAGAAAAATAGTCAAGCCCATCAAAAGCAGCATTGTGGAAGATAAACAGGAATGCAGGTCAAAATAAGCAAGGATTGGAATCAGAATACCTATCTATTTGAACAAGTTCAAATCTCCTGGATCAGATGGTTTACATCTCAAGAGTACTGAGGAGCTGGAAGAGATGATCTTAGAACCACAAATGATCACTCATAGCTCCTGGAGCATGGGGGAACTGCCAGAGGACTGGAAAAGAGCTGATGTGGTTACAATCTTCAAAAAGCCAAAAAACTGCCCCAAAAGCCACACTGTTCTAAGTATATCAAAGGATGACATCAAGATCACTATATTGCACTAGTAGGCCAATTTGGAATACTGTATCGAGTTCTGGTTACCATGATACAAAAAAAAGATGTTGAGGCCCTAGAATTTGTGCAGAGAAGAACAAAGCTGATAAGGGATCTGGAGGCTAAATTGTATGATGAACTGTTAAGGCAGGGGTGTCAAACTCAATTTCATTGAAGGTCGCATCAGCATTGCAGTTGCCCTCGGGGGGCCAGGTGGGTACGGCCTATTGTGTGGGCGTGGATGAAGTGGGTGTGGCCTACTGGGTGGGCGTTGCCAGCTCTACATCATTTGCGTCAAGGGTACCTGTGGGGGCCTCAGCAGGAGTGGGACACATCTGACAGTTTCTGGCAGAAAGGGGTGGGACCAGGGCAGAGCCCATCAACCCGGATATGTGAAGTAGGCGAGGGCCATTTGCTGGCCACTTCCATTTGCTGGCCACTTCCAGACGATGGTGCATTTCTTCATTCCTCATAAAGGGTGACACCTCCCCAGCATGCACCCAGGGGGTGGGGCCGAGGCAGCAGGGGCTGGTTCCTCACTGTTTCCAGACGGCCTTGTGGGGACCGGTCCCTCACTGTTTCCAGGATGGCTTCGCAGGCCACATGAAACCACTTCATGGGCCGTATACGGCCCCCGGGCCTTGTGTTTGATATGTCTGTGTTAAGGGAACTAGATATGTTTTGTCTAACCCAAAAAAAGAGGGCTTAGGGGAGACCTGACAACAGTCTTCCAATATTTGAAGCGGTCTCATAGGGACAATTGCATCGATTTATTCTCCATAGAAACTGAGGGCAGAAAAGGAAGCTGGAAGCTTGTCACACAGAGATCCAACCAGGAAGTAAGGAGGAATTTCCAGAAAGTCAGAATGATTAACTGGCCCTGCAGGTAGACCTCTATACTCTTTCCCAAGAGGAAAAAGATCACCTGAAAGAGGATCAATGGGTAATCACCCATTGCAGACACATTTAATGTAGAAAATACAGTGTTTAGACTTCACTACCCAAATTGTCACATGGTAGATTTTAATAGCAGCTCTTACCTGTGCTTGGTAAAGTTTGCTCATCTACCAGCAGCATTCTAGATATCTCTATTCCATTTTATCCTTTTTAATTACTCCATGTTGGACCAAAAGGTCCATGGGTTGGAAGAGATCGCATGGAGCAATCCTGTTCAAGCCAATGACTAGGAACTCACACAGGCTTACACAACAGATAGTGTCATGAATAGGATACTGTTGTGAATGTATTTAAAAGTTAAGATTGTTTGTACCTTTACATTCATAATAGTTAAGGAGGGACAATTCAAAATTTCTACATCGGTTTGTATTTTCTCATATTAAATTGTACAAGAGCTATTAAATGATTTGAAGTGTTGCTAAGCAAATAATCTTATAGATGTTACTATTTCTAGATACATAACCTGTTTCATTTTTTTTCATTTTCTATTTCTTAGGTTGGCATAGGATTGGGTGTTGGTTTTAATGTAAATATAGCATTTACTGGTGGTCTTAATCCACCAATAGGAGACTCAGAATATTTGACTGCTTTCAGGTAATTCTTAATTTACAATTTTTTCTTAGATTGGTGGGTCATTAGGAGTATCTGTATGTTAACAAACCACACTATTCAGATTTGTACACTTATGTTAAGCATAAGCCTTAGGCTTGTAAAAAATTAAAAACATTACATAAAGGCAATGCAAGTTTTAATGTATGAAATCTAGTATAAAATTATCTCTATAATTTTTTCATTTATGATATATTCCTCATATGACATTTTTCACGCTATTTATGTTTTTAGTGGTTATTTTCAATATATATTCCTTATATGATGTTTTCTCTTGTAGTTTTTGATGAGTAAGTCTCATTACTCCCCATTTTAATAAAGCCAGGACACTGGGACAGCCTTTATTTACAAAATCAGATTAAGGAAAATAATTGCTGGAATTACTGTTCATAGTAAAATTCTCTTATAGTCCATTTCTGATAAATGCCAAGGGAAAATGTAATACACAGTACAGCCTAGAACACAGGTCGGCAACCTGTGGCTCCGGAGCCACTTGCGGCTCTTTGAGCCTTCCCCTGCAGCTCCCAGCCTCCTCTGCCATTTGCAGAGAGAGACAGAGACAGAGAGAGGCACTTGCACTCTCTCTCTCTCTCTCTCTCTCTCTCTCTCTCTCTCTCTCTCTCTCTCTGTGTGTGTGTGTGTTTGTGTAAAAGAGAGTGGACTCATGGTGTTCTCCAACAAGCTGAAAAGCTTTTTGGGCAGGGCTCCTCCCTTTGCTGCATCTCTGCAGGAAACAGGAAGCAGGAAGGGCAGGAGAGAGCTAGCTAGCTCAACTATGCTGACTCAGGAACTCTGGGAGTTGAAGTCCATGAGTCATAAAAGAGCTGAGTTTGCCTACCCCTGAGCTTGTTGGAGAACAGCTTGAAGCCAGCTTGCCAGGTGAGCAGAAGATCAGAGAGAGGGAGAGAGATGGGGGAGAGAGAGGGAGAGAGGAAAGAGAGAGAAAGAAAAAGAGTGGGGGAAGAGGACTGGCAGACCAAGGGCAGAAAGAGAGAGAGAGAGAGGGAGGGAGGGAGGGAGAGAGACCCTTTTGATATCTAAAATGAATAATAAAGGTAAAAAAGGATATATGCAGTGTTATCTTCATTTTAGATATCAAAAGGGTTTTGTGGCTCCCAGTGTTTTGTTTTCGGTGGGAAACGGGTCCAAGTGGCTCTTTGAGTGTTTTGGGTTGCCTACCCCTGGCCTAAAACTTAAGAAACTTAAATGTTTCTTAAACTTTTTTTTCGGAGGACCCCTTCCCACTTTTAAAAATTATGGAGGATCCCAAAAGAGCTTTTGTTTATAGGGATTATATTTATTGATGTTTATTGTTTTAAAAAATTAAAATTGATGCATTTGCTACTGCTACTGTTTCTCATTATTGTTTGATGGGGCTTTAATATTGTATTATTTTTAGCAAAGGCTGGCAAATAATTTTAATTTCAAGATCCCTGGAAGAAGACCTTCCAGGAGTCCTGGGACCGCACTTTTAAGAAACACTGGCCTAAAAGAAAACATATGCCATAATTTAAAAAATTAGCAGTAATTCTAAACAAACAGTTCCATGAGTCAGGTAAACTGCACAATCCAGATGTTTTTTACATAGAGATTTATTTTCCAAAAAAACCTACACTTAATATAGTGAGATGGGCAGTTTGTTTTTTGTCAAAGAGTTCAAAAGTTCCTCAATTCAAAAATGTCCAACTATTGTGCATATATCCCCTATGCCTCCTCAGTTCTAAATGTCATGGGACACATATAGGTAGTCCTCAACTTACAACCACAATTGGGATTGGAATCTCAGTCACTGAACAAAGCTATTATTAAGCAAGACATTCACTTGATAGCTTTGCTCAATGACCACAACCCTAGCACCCCCAGCAACCTCTGGGAGATTGTTAAGCAGACAGAGCAAAAGAGCTGCGTGCCAAGTTCACCTCCCCTCTGTGCAATGAAGAGAATTGCTCCAGTGGGCTGCAGGAATGGAACTTGGATTATTAGTACCCCTCTGTAGTCAACTCTTTCAGTCAGCCCTTGAAGACAAAAGGGAGTCCTCATAGCAGGTGGCTTGCAACCTTTCCCCAATTGATTTTCTGGGGAAGCCAGCAAAGGAGATTGCAAAGGCAATTACATGCCAAGCACTCAAACCAAGATCATGTGTCCTTGGGGGGAGGGGATAGCATTACATTTTACAGCAGCTGGAAGATAACATACTTCTTCTGAGGCCATTGCAACTTTGAACAGTTATTAAACTACCAATCATAAGTGAAGTTCAAATGTACGTACGTAGATTGGAAGTCACTCTGTTATAGAAGTTCATTCATTTGATGAGCACAGGAAATAAGCTGCAGTGAGGAATAAAAACTAGTATATTTATTCTCTTTTTCACAGAATTCATTATATTCTAAAGCAAAACATTTGAATTAGGCTAGACAGCTATGCCTAAATATCTTTTTGTGCCCCCCCCCCAAAGATCTTTTAAATACTGTTGGTAAAAACTGGCCAGAGTTCACTACAATTTTGAGATGGGAAAACATCCCAAAGTTGTCCAAAATAGGCTTAGTATAATACTAAGAATAAAAATCCACCACAAAGTCTAGGATAGGTTGTTTGCAGCCAGAGCACTTCCAAAACTCAAATGCAATCAGTAGCAGCTAGAGAGTACTGTGTACTTTGTCCATCACAGAAATGACAATAGTGCTCCACATCCTTGAATTCACCAGTAATAGTTACTTTTAGGCCCTGTATCCTGGTACTCAATGCACAATTTCATTTATTAATCATATATCCTAATCAAATGTATGCAGATGAAACACACATTTTAATCTTGATAGTAATATTATGAAAATGAAATAATTGACACTCAGTTGTACAGTTTAATTTCTTAAGCACCAATTATTTCAGTCAGTAGTAAAATTTAGTTGTATCTGATTAGCATTGTATGTGAACCATACAATGTGTGATATAGTTATACCTTTCTACTTTATAGTTTTCTGTGCAACTATTCATAAATTTGTATTTCAATGTATACTTTTTTCTATAGCTATAAAGGAAAATGGTAAACTTCAAAAGTATAAGCTAGAGTAGCTTTAGCATCTTCTCTAGTCCTTTTCTCATTCTTTGTTTGGTTCTTATTTGTATTGAAAATGTCATTGAAGAAGAAAATCGAATTATTCAGTATCTTGGTGAGTACAGTACAGTAATCTGTTTTCTGCTTTTTTTTTCCTTTTGGGATTGGCTATTCATGATGCAGAACAATAGTAATGCCTATTGCTCGTGAGTTTGCTCCAGATGTTGTACTGGTGTCATCAGGTTTTGATGCAGTAGAAGGTCATCCTGCACCCCTTGGGGGATATAATCTATCTGCAAAATGTAAGTTTTTTCAGGGTGTTAAATTTCACATATATGTGTTTGGATGTTTATATTTAGGATCTTTCAGTTTCAAATTTAGCAATCACTTTCTCATTTCACTCTTTATGGAATGACATCAGGAAAGACAAAAATGGTACTGGTAGTACTTATTTTGCAACCACAATTGGGACTAGCAGCTCTTAGTGGTTGCTAAGTGGAAGATAATATAGCTGTGAGTGTGCTTTCCATTTCCCCACTCCCCCACCTTTGGAACTTTCACCTCAGCTCTGGAATAATTTTTAAAGGAAATAATATTTGTATTTACATTCTTGGAGAGGAAGAGATTATAAGAGAGTAAGCAGACATACAGTGGAGGAATGCACATTGAAAACAATGAACCAGCAGCCCACTCTGTGAAAGGAGGGGGAAGAAAAAAAGTGATTTCTGTGGGCAGTCTTTCCTATGCCTGACCCACAGATTAGAAAGTCACAGATAGGACAGAATTGGCATATTGGATATAACTCATAAGAGCTTACTTTATCATGCATGCCACAAATTTATCAAATATCTCAGGCTACTTACTTACAGAATTTCATTATTATGATAGAGCAAACAATTTTCAATAGTGCTCAGTTTCTCATTTTTCCAAATGTTCCTCCTTTACTATTTTATATCTGTGGTTGTATCAGTGGTTCTCAACCTTTTTAATGCCGCGACCCCCAACCGGTCATAAGTCGAGGACTACTCAACCAGTCGTAAGTCGAGGACTACTCAACTGGTGCAGCACCGTTTGCAGAATGGAACTTTTGGCGGGCTCAGCAGGGCAGAGACAGCCTGGACAATTCCTATTGGCTTTTGAAAGCCAATAGAATTAGACTCTATTCAAGAGAGTCTATTCTATTGGCTTTCAAAAGCCAATAGAATAAAAGGGAGTAGCACAGCTAAGGAAAAGGGGGGGGAAATGGCGGACTGGGTTGTTTAGCGACCCCCGTGAAATGGTCGTTCGACCCCAAATGGGGTCCCGACCCGCAGGTTGAGAACCACTGTTGTAGACTGATAGGAAACAGGTTTCATATCATTTTTTATTTGCCTTTTTTCCCAAATATGCATTATTTTAGTGCATACATTTTGTGATGTTCTTCCTTAATATAAGTCTAGAAATTCTGAGCTGTAAATTGCAGATGTTTTAAAAATGTTTTTAATATATAGAGTCACTCTGATTTTTACATAGATTCAGAAAATAAATTGATTACATCTGCATTCGAGTCAATTTGAAGCAGATTACATATGATCATCATGGGGATAGATTTGAAAATGGAGAAATGATTTGAAATATTTCTGACTTTTGAGATGAATTAATAATTATTTATTAATAATGCTTATAGGCGCCTTATTCTTTTTTGCTTTTTCCCAGGCTTTGGATACCTCACCAAACAGCTTATGGGGCTGGCTGAAGGACGAATCATTCTGGCTCTTGAAGGTGGTCATGATCTGACAGCCATTTGTGATGCATCTGAAGCATGTGTTTCTGCTTTACTAGGAAATGGGGTAAAGTAAAAATGCAATTTATGCTCTCTTATTAATTGACTGGCACAAATCCCACCACTATAGTGATGGGCTGCACCTCACAAAAATAGGGGAAAATGTACTCAGAAAAAGACTGATCCAACTCATCAGGAGGGCTTTAAACTAAAATTGAGGGAGAGGGGTGACCAATCTCTAGAATCTCTAGAACCCAAAACAATCACAAATCCCAAGAAAACAAATCAAACAATGAGGTAGGCAGTAATGAGAAAAAAGAAAAACTCAAACAACAATCAGGACATGCAAGAAACATACCTGCAGGCAGGCATAAAAGTCTTAAATGCTTATATACAAATGCTCAAAGCTTGAGGAACAAACAGGATGAACTAGAAGCAAGAGTACATGTATGGCATTACAGAAACCTGGTGGGACAAAACCAATGAATGGAATGGACTGAAGGATGGATACAAATTGTTCAAAAAAAAAACAGGTCTACAAAAAGAGGATGGGGAGTTGCACTATATATAAGAGAACACTACATATCTACAGAAATGCACATGATCAAAGATAAAATCTTTCCAGAGTGTATATGGGTCAATATAAAAGAGAAAAAAGTGACATTGCCCTAGGAGTATACTACAGGCCACCCAACCAATCAGAAGAGATGGACTCGGCCAACCAGTTAACAAATGTATGTAGGAAGCATACCACAGTAGCAATAGTGGTTGATATCACTAGATATCAACTGGGAGACAAACTCTGCAGTGAGCAGGAGATCAAATAGATTCCTAACCAACCTAGCTGACAACTTTGTCACCCAAAAGATGGAGGAGGGAACTAGACGTAAAGCTATACTGGACTTGATCCTTACAAATAGAGAAGAAATGATAGAGGGAATTGAAATTGCCGGAACCCTGGATGAAAATGATCACGTTGTACTGGAATTTAACATAATGCAAACACTAGCAATAGAAAACAATTCAACCAGTGTCTTAAACTTCAAAAGAGTTGACTTTAACAAACTCAGAGAGAACCTAGGAAAGATCTCATGGATGAAAATAAGGGGAAAATAACCCAAGAAGTATGGGAGACTCTGAAAAATGTGATCATAAAAGCCCATATCAGTACAATACCACTGAAAAAGAAAAACAAGAAATTCAAGAAGAAACCAGCATGGTTGCACAAAGATCTCTCTGGCAAACTGAAAGACAAAAAGGACAAATACAAAAAATGGAAAGAGGCGCACATAACTAAGGCCAATTATCGGCAGAGAGACAGAACATGCAAAGATGAAGTCAGGAAAGCAAAGGCTCAGAACGAACAAAGACTTGTAACAGAAATCAAGGACAATAAAAATGGTTTCTTCCAACATATTAATAACAAGAAAAAAGTCAAGGAAACTGTAGGTTCACTGAAGATGGCAAGAAAATAAGAGGCAGTAGGGCAGACATGTCAAACTCGTGACGTCATGTGACGTCGCACAACATATCGGGCCGGTTTTGCCATTGCCATTGCTTTAGATGACGCGTCCGGCCTGTGGGCCAGCAGTTTGACACCCCTGCAGTAGGGAGAAGGCAGAGCTGCTTAACTCATATTTTGCATCACTTTTTACACAAAAAGAAACTATAACCCAGTGGTTCTCAAACTTTCTAATGTCATGACCCCATAATACAGTTCCCCATGTTGTGGTGACCCCCAAGTGGGTGTGGCCACCAATAAGAGGGAATAGGACAGCTAGGGAAAAGGGAAAAAATGACGGACAGCGTGGTTTGGCAACCCCCGTGAAATGGTCGTTCGACCCCAAATGGGGTCCCGACCCACAGGTTGAGAACCACTGCTATAACCCAACATACAAAAAAAAAAACCACTGCAAAAGACAAACTAAAAACAAAAATTAAAATAAGCAAGGAAATGGTAAGAGAAAATCTATCTGACCTTGACAAGTATAAATCACCAGGACTCGACAGACTACATCCCAGAGTTCTGACGGAGCTGGCAGATGTTATCTCAGAACCATTACACCACATTTTTCATAAATCCTGGAAAAGGGTTGATCTGGTTCCCATACTCAACGAGTAGTCCTCAACGGCACTACATCCACATGGAGAGAAGTAAGCAGTGGGTTACCACAAGGTTCCATCTTTGGCCCAGTACTCTTCAATATCTTCATAAATGAGTTAGACGAGGGAATTGAAGGGGAATTCATCAAATTTGCAGATGACACCAAACTGACAGGAGTAGCCAACACCCCAGAAGGCAAACTCAGGATCCAAAAAGATTTTCACAAACCTGAACAAACTATCCAACAAAATGAATTTTAATGTGGAGAAAAGCAAAGTTTTACATTTAGGCAGGAAAAATCAAATGTATAAGTACAGACCTGGCTCAAAAACAGTTAATGTGAGAGGGACCTTGGAGTCCTAGTGGATGGTCACTTGACTATGAGCCAGCAGTGTGCAGCAGCAACCAAAAAAGCTAATACAATCCGGGGTTGTATAAACAGAGGCATAGAATCAAGATCACGTGAAGTATTAGTACCGCTTTATAAAACCCTAATAAGACCACACCTGGAATACTGCAGCCAATTTTGGTCACCATATCATAAAAAAGATGTTGAGAGTTTAGAAAAAATTCAGAGAAAAGCAACTAGGATGATCAAAGGCCTGGAGACTAAAACATGCGAATAACTGCTACAGGACTTGGATTTGGGTAGTTTAAAGAAAAGAAGAAATGGGGGCGACCTGATAGCAGTATTCCAGTATTTAAGGGACTCCTACAAAGATGAGGGGGTCACGTTATTCTCCAAAGCAGCAGAGGGCAGGACAAGAAACAATGGTTGGAAACTGAACAAAGAGAGTAGCAACCTAGAATTAAGGAGAAACATCCTGATAGTGAGGACAATTAACCAGTGGAACAGCTTGCCTCCAGAAGTCGTGCGCCCCCCATCACTGGAGATTTTTAAGAAGAGGCTAGGCTAGGCAGTCACTTGTCTGCGATGGTATACTGTAGTTTCTCCTGCTTGAGCAGGGGGCTGGACTAGATAACCTCTAAGGTCCCTTCTAATTCTATTCTATTCCCTAACTTCTTTTGCCCCCATCCCTCCATTTATGGCAGGATGCCAGCAAGCTTAGTGATGCATAGTGAAGATGGAAGCACTGACACTTTATGGGAAACTTGCTTTCAGGTTTCATGCCACCTGAAATTTCAGCCACTTGTCTGAGATAGTATAGGTTCTCCGGCTCGAACAGGGGAGCTGGACTAGAAGACCTCCAAGGTCCCTTCCAGCTCTATTCTATTGTAGTTGTAGCTGATCTTATGTCAAAAATCTGGAACATTTTATCACTACTGGATAGAACTGCTTGTATCTCCTTGGCCAAAAGAGGGATTTTTGATAGTCATTGCCACTTAAATTTTAACAAATAAGACAGGAAAAGTAATCTTCAAGATTTTGCTGTCTACAAAATGAATATAGAATATAGAGATCTAATACCAACCCACAAGTCTAAGATATCTGTGATGATATCTGAGGTGAGATCGATTCCCACCCTTCTTGCCTCCTGGAAGACATGGCTCTGATGGATGGTTTGGGGCCCAATGGGGGAGCATCAGACTGGAGGTGATTGAAGAATCAAGACACAATCCCACCTTTCCCCCCACATGTTCAGCTCCCTCCCTCCTAATCTTTTAACTATAATTAAATTAAATTAATTATAATTTAACTATATTTTTCTTTGATTTTCACAAATAGTAGTTGGATATAACTTCAAAGGATATCAAGCCACATATTTTTCACCTAAAGAAATCTAAATTGTTCAAATCATATGTTCATTATTTATTTTAAAAAGTGATATTCTAACATGTTTTTTATTAACTCAGCTTGATCCAATTCCTGAAGAAATATTACAGCAAACAGCAAATGTTAATGCAGTGCATTCCATTGAAAAGGTCATTGAAATACACAGTGAGTACCTACAAACAATAGTTTTCCTTCTATAGTTAGAACAAGTCTTTATTCATTGTTTTAAAAAAAACGAATTCATAAAATTCAAAAAGCTGCAGAATATTCATATAACTCTTTGTCTCCTCCCAGAAAAAACTTTGTCCAACCTCTGCTTGAATAAATTCAGCAAAAATGTACTCAAATAGCCACTCTGCCAATCTATTTTTACTTTTAATCTTTCCTTACCCTCAGCTGGAACCTGCCTTCCTTTGCCTTTGAACAGTGTCCACTCTCTGGCATGATAAAGAATAGATCTTGGCCTCTGTGATCACAAATTCAAATATCTGAAAACTGAAATCAGTGTTCTTCTTTCAAGTCTAAACATATCAAATTCTTTTAATCTCCCCTGATACAACTTAGTTTCATCTTTTCTATTCCTAACCCATTTGAACACACAATCCTCAAAACTGGACATATTATTCAAAAATAAACACAGCAAATTTTTGTCTATCACAGAACAGAAAGCAGTAGTTTGCATGTTATGGAAATTTCATCTTATGGGAGTTTTTAATTAGATTCGCCTTTTTTTTAATAAATATTTTATTAATTTTCTATTTTTACAAACAAGTGCTTAATAGACAACATGTTGACTGGGTCCATTAATAATTACATGGTACATATAAGCTTCTTCAAACTAAATCCAATATTACATCATCCGATGTAATATTTTCTTCCGATAATAAATATTTTTCCACATTAAGCAAATACAACTCTTATTGTTATTAATAGATATACAGTTTAATATCAGCATTTATTAGTTTTCTAATATCAGTGATATCAATTTAAAATAACTTTTCTAACCAAAACATCTTAATTGCATTTTCGCTTTTTTTTTTTCAATTTTAATTTCCCATCCATATTCAAAATATCCCAGTCATTTATATTTTCAAAACAAGTTATATTTGGTTAACCAAAAGCTTCCGTTACTCAAACTTCTTAGCATTTTCTTATTTTCATGCCAAAATATGATATTCTGATTACCAATCTTATCTATCTAGTTATAATAATATTTCTATTTCTAGAAATCTATTCTTAACCATATTCAAACATCTAATTGATAATATAATATCCCCTCTAATAGGTCAAAGTTTCTGTTTTCTTTGGTCTTACTTTAGCTTTCTTCCTTTGCAAACTAACTTTCCAAGTCAGTACATTTGGCTCATCAAATAATTCTTCCTCTATTTTTGTGCATATTATTTGGAGCAAAAGAAACAATTTAGTTAAGGTATTTTTGGAAGACCTAGCCCAGGGGTCTGCAACCTTAAACACCCAAAGAGCCACTTGGATCTGTTTCCCAGAGAAAAGAAAACACTGGGAACCGCAAAACCTGTGCATGCGCAAGGGGGGGAGAGCTTGATTGAAGAGTTTAATTAAAAAGAAATAGAGGCTGCTGTGCATGAGTTCTCTCTCTTTCTCTCTCTCCTCTCTCTCTCTCTCTCTCTCTCTCTTTCTTTTTCTTTCTTTCTTTCTCTCTCTTTTTCCTCTCCCTCTCTCTTTCCTCTCCTTTCTCTCTCTCTTTCTCTCCCTCTCTCTCCTCTCTCTCACCCTCCTTCCCCCTGTCTCTTTTTCTCTTTCTCTCCCTCCCTCTCTCTTTCTCTTTTCTCTCTCCCCCTCTCTTTTTCTCTCCTCTCTCTCTCCCTCTTTCTCTCTCTCTCTCTCTCCCTCTCTTTCTTCTCTCTCCCTCTCTCTTTTTCTCTTTCTCTTTCCTCTCCCTCTCTCTTTCCCCTCTCTCTCCCTCTCTCTTTTTCTTTCTCTTTCCTCTCCCTTTTTCTCTCCTCTCTTTTCTCTCTCTCCTCTTCCTCTTTCTCTCTCCCACCCTCTTTCTCTCTTTTTTCTCTCTTCCTCTCTCTCCTCTCCCTCTCTCTTTCTCTTTCCTCTCTCTCTTTCTCTTTCCTCTCTCCCTCTCTCTTTCTCTTTCCTCTCCCCCTCTCTCTTTTCTCTCTCTCCCTCTCTTTCTCTCTCACACCCTCTTTCTCTCTTTTTTTTCTCTCTTTCCCTCTCCCTCTGTCTCTCCCCCCCTCTCCCTCTCTCCGATCTCCTGCTCACCTGGCAAGCTGGCTTCAAGCTGTTCTTCAACAAGCTGACATGCATTCTTATTGGGCTGGCTCTCTCCTCCGCTTTCTGCTTCCTGCAGAGATGCAGCAAAGGGAGGAGTCCCGCCCAATAAGCTTTGTCAGCTTGTTGGAGAATAGGGTGAGGCCACTATTTTTACACAGAGGGGGGGGAAGCACATGCCTCTCTCTGTCTCTCTCTCTCTCTCTGCAAATGGCAGAGGAGGCTGGGAGCCGCAGGAGAAGGCTGAAAGAACCGCATGTGGCTTCGGAACCATGGGTTGCTGATCTGTGAGCTAGCCCATTGATATTCATTAAACAGCCTCCCTTCTTCTCCAATTCCCCACAGTTCTGGTAACAGCTCTATCTTCCATTCCATTGGCTTTCCTTCCTTATCCTCCAGTATGCTCTGAAATCTTGGTTGATAAAATGCCTTTTCCGTTTCCAGTATTATTAATATGTCTTCTAATTCTTCATTTGTCTGAGTCTGGCTGTTAGTTTTTTCCTTTGGGTCCTCCATATTTGGATCAGCTTTCTCTAGTTTTCCTTCTATTTTCTGGGTTGCTCGTTCCTTCTCTGTGGTTATTTTCTGGGTTTGTAAATTTAAATTAGAAAATTGTTCTTTTATCTCTTTTGTATTATTTTTAATCTCATCATGAGCTAAGGCAATTGTTTATTGTATTAATTTCAACATGGAGAGAATTTCTTTCTGTGATTCATAGTATTTTCTTGGTGGTATGTCAAACTAAGGCTTCTGGAGACATGTTAAGGATAGTTTTTTACCGTTTAGAGCTAAATATGGAACATCCATTTTATTTTTTTGTAAATGACCTATATAGAAATCTGTTTGAAAACTTGAGGTTTCAGTTAATTATTATTGGAATTCCAGATTATCCAACCAATTTATCAATCCTTTCTTAAACCTCCCCTAAGCAAATATAAGTAAAATTCAAATTTTTGTGTCCAATGAGAAATATATCCTTTCTGTCCATGAAGAAGAAAGAACCATTAAAAGTTGTTTATCAGTCAAGATTTATGACCCAAAATGTTCCATCATATCAGGCAATAGTGCATATTTCTTCTACAGGAAAATAGTTCCACAATACAGTTCTGAAAGTCAGTATTTGTATTTGTAGTTCAGACATACCAATTTTGAAATAGTTTATCATCTCTGACACACAGATAAGCAGCCCCCAGGCCTTTTCTTTCTCAGCTGCAATCTTCAAAAGTAAAAGCCAGCCAGAATCTTATCTAAATTTAGGCTTCGAGGTAGGCTTCTTTTAGGCATAATAAGTTGTAGTGTTGTAAATTCACCACTAGATGTCATTGACGCCGTTTTCCAGTTTTTGGTTTTTTTAAAATCCAAAACTTATATTGCAGACTTTTCAAGTCTCTTTTTTTTAAAAAAAAGAGCACTTTTTTTCTCAAAATTTCCATATATATATTTGTATAGCTATTTCAGGCTCATCTGCCCTCATCAGCTAGTCACACCCTTCAGGGATTCGAACCTGGGCAGCTTGCATGTTAGGCAACTGTATTACCCTTTTGTCAGCCACAAAAATTTGAATTTATAGGGTTCATAGTATGTGAGGTCTGCCTGCAAAACATGCTCCTAGATTGGAGTGAAATGCAGAACAGACTTACCGGGTGCCTTACCAACAGATTTTACATACATACATACATACATACATACATACATACATACGCGCACCAAGACCTGCATACCTATACCCGTGAAAATCTACGAAAACAAATATATACGTATTTTTAGGTTGCTAACAACGAATAAAGAGAGAACTGGTATAGCTATTTCGAGTTCCATTAACTCTCTTCAGCCAGACTTACTCTTCTGAGATTCGAACCTGGGCTTATCTGCATGTTAGGCAGTTGTTATAACCTCTAAGCCACAGGCTCTCTCCCACTCTGTTAGCTACCAGGAGAGAGACAGGGGGAGGAGATTTTTACCTTGAATGTACACCCTCTCAGCCCAAATATGGGAGAAAGAAATCTTTCTTTTTTCTTTTTCTTTTGCCTGTATCAGCTCAATCTAGAGCCATCCACAAGCAGCAGTCGCCAACTGCGACATCATTTTACATTTTTAGGTTGCTAACAAAGAATAAAGAGAGAACTGGTATAGCTATTTCGAGTTCCATTAACTCTCTTCAGCCAGACTTACTCTTCTGAGATTTCTCCCATATTTGGGCTGACAGGGTGTACATTCAAGGTAAAAATCTCCTCCCCCTGTCTCTCTCCTGATAGCTAACAGAGTGGGAGAGAGCCTGTGGCTTAGAGGTTATAACAACTGCCTAACATGCAGATAAGCCCAGGTTTGAATCTCAGAAGAGTAAGTCTGGCTGAAGAGAGTTAATGGAACTCAAAATAGCTATACCAGTTCTCTCTTTATTCTTTGTTAGCAACCTAAAAATGTAAAATGATGTCGCAGTTGGCGACTGCTGCTTGTGGATGGCTCTAGATTGAGCTGATACAGGCAAAAGAAAAAGAAAAAAGAAAGATGATTTCTTTCTCCCATATTTGGGCTGACAGGGTGTACATTCAAGGTAAAAATATATACGTATGTATGTATGTAAATTCCAACTTAGTCTTGTAGTTTTCTCCATTTTCCCCAAGTAATTAAATCACTGCTTTTCTTTTTCTGAGGGAATGGGGCAGAAATTCCCCTTCCCTCTCTCATCAGGGGGAGTGCTTTGGGCAGGTTTTCAGGAAGAGGTCTTAAAATCATAAAGAGAGGATCAGGTCTCACCCAGTTTCATCCATGTTGCTGTAATGTTCCTTGTTGGTACTTATTGTCTCTGTTTTAGCAGCTTAGGACTGGCTACACGAATGTAGCCAGTGTTTTCTCTGCCAGTTTGGAGGGCTTCCTCGAATCAAACAGGAGGGCTGCTGCCCCCCTCCCACATCAATGAGGGTCCCTTCCTTGCTTGTCACCTCTACAGGGAGACTTTCAACCCTTTCCACGGTCCCCCAGTGGGGCAAAATCGAGCACAAAAGACGAGCCCCATCTTCCTGTGTTTGTCCCGCTGCGACATCAAAACCAGAAGCCACATTTGCCTTTTTTTAAAGTCACATTACATTGATTTCATATACAGCTTGTGATACAACTAAAAAATCCATTTAATTAATTTAATTTAATTGCAAAGCCAGTAATTTCTTATAGCATGCGCTTCTCATTTGTTTTCTCTTTTCTTTTTTCATTTCTTTGTTCTGGTTTGATTACATTATTCATTCTATTGGGTGGAATGGTGGCTCAGATGCTGGGTTTGTTGGCTGGAAAGCCAGCAGCCCAAGTTTCAAAACCTGAACACCATGTGATGGGGTGAGCTCTCGTCCTTGGCCCAGTTTCTGCCAACCTAGCGGTTTGAAAGCATGCAAATGCGAGTAGAAAAATAGATACCACTTTGGTGGGAAGGTAACACTCGTCTATTACAGCATGCTGGCTGTATGACTGCGGAAATGTCTTTGAAGAATGCTGGCTCAATGGCCTTGAAATGGAGAGGAGCACTGCCCCCTATAGTTGGCAACAACCAACGGAGTAAAATCTGCAGGGACTCCTTACCTTTATTCTATTCATTCTATTCATTCTATTATTTTCCAAACATTCTTGTAACTTAGTTAATGTCTTCTAAGTATCTACCATCCCGGGGAGCCTAATCTTTAATGAAAATGTTGCAGAGGACCAAACCTTATGGCAGTCTATCTGATAAAGAACTATGAATTTCCTTTGAGCATGATTTTCAAGACAGCTATGTTTCCATTTAATTACTCACTTTTTACTATTCTTAATCAGGCTGCCATGGGGTACTTTATTTATTGCTTTATTGGAAATAAGATATAGTACAGATAGTCCTCAACTTACAGCCATTCATTTAGTGATGCTTTGACGTTACAATGGCACTGAAAAAAGTGTTTTATGACTAGTTTTCACAATTGCAACTGTTACACTACCCCATGGTCACATGATCAAAATTTGGACACTGAGCAAGTGGTATGTATTTATGATGGTTGCAGTGTTCCAGGGTCAAACAATTATCTTTTGTGACCTTCTGATAAGCAAAGTCAACAACCTAACAACCATGTTACTAGCTTAATATTTTTTTATTCAGCTCTGAATTTTGGTTGATCAGTTATCCCCTGACTTCTCCCTTTCCAATGTTATATCTGAAATTGCCTGACAGAATATTTTTGTATAATCTGTATTCCTTATTTCTTTATTTTTTCAGGAAGCCCTTGGAACATTTCTCTAGTTCCAGTAAATTAGACAAAAATATGCAAATGAAATAATATGTCTCCCTATTTTACTGCACCTCAGTTTGCCCCCTTCTCTGTTGTTTCCTTGTATCCCTTTTATTCATTTATAAAAGGGATACAAGAAAATAACAGAGTAGAAGGCAAATGTAGGTGCCGTACAATAGGAAAATATATTATTACTTCATTTACATATATTTTGTAAAGCCTCTTAGAAGTAAGAATCTCCCAGATCTGTTTCATTTTGCAGCTTGATGGTGATTTTCTTTTGTTTAATAGAAAAATGCTAGTAATGGATTCCATAATGACTTAAATTTTCCTTTAGGTAAATATTGGCATTCGCTCCAACGTTATTCTTCAACAGTTAGTTATTCTTTGATAGATGCACAGAAGTGTGATAATGAAGAAGAAACTGTAACAGCAATGGCATCTTTGTCAGTGGGAGTTAAACCACTTCCTGAGAAAAAGTAAGTTTTACTCTTTACCTTTTTGGCAGAGAGGGTTTCTTTGACTTCTACAGTTTTGTTGGCAAGATTTTTCAGAAGTGATTTGCCATTGCCTCCTTCCTAGGGCTGAAAGAGTGATTGGCTCAAGTTCACCTTACTGGCTTTGTATCTAAGGTGGAACTAGAATTCCATCCCTAGCAATGTAACCTTGACTACTGTTACCTTGACTACTACATCAAACTAGCTCTCTGTTTTAATTCTCAGTCTATTCTTTACATCTACCATGTCTAAAAGGCAGCTTCTAAATAGTATTATAAATAAATTATGCATATATACAAACTTTTTTCTTCTAAATCATTTTGAGCACATATCTTCATAAAAGAAGATATTTAGACTTCAGTAAGGCATTTGATAAGGTAGATCCCAACCTACTCCTTGGCAAGCTAGAAAAAGGTGGGATAGACAACATCACCACCAGATGGATCTGTAGCTGGCTGGAAAACCATACTCAACGAGTAGTCCTCAATGACACTACATCCACATGGAGAGAAGCAAGCAGTGGGATACCACAAGGTTCCATCTTAGGTCCAGTACTCTTCAATATCTTCATAAATGACTTAAACGAGGGAATTGAAGGAGAACTCATCAAATTTGCAGATGACACCAAACTGGCAGGAGTAGCCAACACCCCAGAAGACAGACTCAGAATCCAAAAAGATCTTCACAAATCTAAACAAACTATCCAACAAAATGTGTTTCAATGTGGAGAAAAGCAAAGTTTTACAATTAGGCAGGAAAAATTAAAAGTACAAGTACAGATCGGGCAAGACCTGGCTTAAAAACAGTGACTGTGAGGGGGATCTTGAAGTCTTAGTGGACGATAACTTGACCATGAGCCAGCAGTATGCAGCAGCAACCAAAAAAGCTAATACAATCCTGGGTTGTATAAACAGAGGCATAGAATCAAGATCATACAAAGTATTAGTATTGCTTTATAAAACCCTAGTAAGACCACATCTGGAATACTGCAGCCAATTTTGTTCACCATATCACAAAAAAGATGTTGAGACTTTGGAAAAAATTCAGAGAAGAGCAACTAAGATGATCAAAGGTCTGGAGACTACAACATACGAAGAACTGCTGCAGGACTTGGGTTTGGCTAGTTCAGGGGCAGGCAACCCAAAACACTCAAAGAGCCACTTGGACCCGTTTCCCACCAAAAACAAAACACCGGGAGCCGCAAAACCCTTTTGATATATAAAATTAAGATAACACTGCATATATCCTTTTTTACCTTTATTATAGGTGTGTGTGTGTGTGTTTGTGTGTGTGTATGTATGTATGTATATATATATATATATATATATATATATATATATATATATATATATGTTTTCTGACTTACATATGTGTGTATGTGTGTGTATGTATGTATGTATATATATATATATACACGTACCCGCACACGCACACACACATTAAAAATAAAAATATGACTTTTGGGAATATCCATACTATTAAAACAATGATCACCAAGAGAATGCTTTAAGAGAATAAAATTACATACACACACAGGTTAAAAAAGGATATATGCAGTGTTATCTTCATTTTAGATGTCAAAAGAGTCTCTCTCTCTCTCTGTGTCTCTCTCTCTCCCTCCCTCTCTATCTGCCCTTGGTCTGCCACTCCTCTTCCCCCCCCTCTCTTTCTTTCTCTCTTTCTGTTCTCTCTCTCTCTCTCTCCCTCCCTCCCTCCCTCTTTCTCCCCCCCCCATCTGCTGCTCACCTGGCAAACTTCAAGCTGTTGTCCAACAAACTCAGGGGTAAGCCACCTCGTCTCTTTTATGACTCATGGACTTCAACTCCCAGAATTCCTGAGTCAGCCTAGCTGGGCTAGCTAGCTCTCTCCTGCCCTTCCTGCTTCCTGCAGAGATGCAGCAAAGGGAGGAGCTCCGCCCAGTAAGCTTTTCAGCTCCTCGGAGAACACTGTGAGTGTACTCTCTTTTACACATACACACACACACACACAAACACACACACACACACACACAGAGTGAGAGAGAGAGAGAGAGAGAAAAGCAGGGAAGCGCAATTGCCTCTCTCTGTCTCTGTCTCTCTCTGCAAAGGCAGAGGAGGCTGGGAGCCACAGGGGAAGGCTTAAAGAGCCGCATGCGGCTCCAGAGCCGCAGGTTGCCGACCTGTGGGCTAGTTTAAAGAAAAGAAGAAACGGGTGAAATGATAGCAGTATTCCAGTATTTGAGGGACTGCCACAAAGATGAGGTCATGTTATTCTTCAAAGCAGCAGAGGGCAGGACAAGAAACAATGGTTGGAAACTGAACAAAGAGAGAAGCAACCTAGAATTAAGGAGAAACTTTCTAACAGGACAATTAACCAGTGGTACAGCTTGCCTCCAGAAATTGTGAGCACTCCATCACTGGAGATTTTTAATAAAAGGCTAGACAGTCACTTGTCTGAGATGGTATAGGTTCTCCTGCTTAAGCAGGGGATTGGACTAGAAGACCTCCAAGGTCCCTTCCAGCTCTATTCTGTTCTAAAACTTTCCATTTCATGTGTAAAACTCCAGATATGAAATATTCTAAAATGTTCAAAACAGCTAAATTTGTTCACATGAACTTGAAACAGTTCAGAAATACATTTGAAACAATATTTTAGAAATAATAATGGCTATCTTATTCTTTGATCTAGCAAAATTCTCTGCCATCGAAAGCAAAAACATTGACAAATTTTCACAGTTCACCCTGTGAGAGTTTGGAGATATTTGGAGAGTTTGAGAATATTGGTAATAGCAATATCTTGCTAGGTCAAACACTTCCAGGTTTGCTAAATCAAGGAGTATTCCCTTATTAAAAAGTACACCAAATTAATAAAATGCAGTGTTAGTGGCACTTAATTGGGCCTCAGATTTAATTCATTAGTTTGAAGAAAGACAAATTTAGGGATGCAAATGACAGAACACAAACTGGTAAAGGTTTACAATTAAAAATCTAAGAACAGAAATAAAAACAAATGAAAAATCTAGGGAAAGAATTGGAAAAGGAAGTAGTCCTTGTCTTATAACCATTTGTTTAGTGATGATTCAAAGTTACCAAGGCAGTGAAAAAAGTGACTTATGACCATTTTTCGCATGACTATTGCAGTATCCTTGTGATCCCATGATCAAAATTCAGAGGCATAGCAACTGGCATGTATATCCTGGAGCCATGTGATCACCTTTTGCAATCTTCTGACAGCAAATCAAGGGGGGGAGACCAGATTCACTTAACAACCATGTTACTAGCTTAACTGCAGTGATTCACTTAACAGCATTCTGAGAGTCATTTTAGTCTACAGGTTAAGGCACCAGGTTAGAAAGTGAGAAATGGTGAGTTCTAGTTGCACCTTAATCATAAAAGCCAGCTGAGTGACCTTGAGCCAGTCACACACTCTCTCAGCCCAGACTATCTCCCAAGATTGTTGTTTGGGAAAAATAGGAGGAGGAAGGTGTGTTAGATATGTTTGCTGCTTTGAGTTAGTATAGGCAGGATACAAATATATAAATAAAATAACTGTAGCAAGAAAGGCTATAAAATGGAGCAAAATTCACTTAACATCTGTCTTGCTTAGCAATGGAAATTTTGGGCTTAATTAATTAATTTATTTTTTAAAAATTAGAAAATTGGGGTTATAAGTCGAAGACTACCTGTATAGCATTCAGTCAGGAGAGAGGTCTAGTGAGACATAACTCATGAGAGAGATCTCAAAATGCTCATATAGGTTTAGTTTTCCCACATAGGATGAATGTCACTGTATTTGATCTGAGCCAAAAATATAAATAATGTCTTTTAATAATTGACTGATCAAACCAATGACTCATCTTCATGGTCAACGTACTGTATAAACAGAATTTGTACTTATATGGAAGATTCAGAATCTTATGAATTACGGCAGGAAATATGATCTCAATTGCTTGTGTTTCATGGATATTACTCCCACTATTCCCTTAGCACCTTCAGCCACCTTAGCAGTAGCATTGGAGAGTTTTCTCCAATTTCTTTTTTTCCCCCAGTAGCTTAGAACACAAAACCAGTCATAAATCCCAAGAAACCAAATCAAACAATGAGGTAGGGAGTGATGAGAAAAAATAAAAACTCCAATAACAATCAGGAGGTGCAGGAAACATACCCACAGACAGGCATAGAAGTCTTAAATGCTTATATACAAATCCTCAAAGCTTGGGGAACAAACAGAGTGAACTAGAAGCATGAGGGCAGGTATGACATAGTTGGCATTACAGAAACCGGGTGGGACGAAATCCATGACTTGAATGTACTGAGGGTGGATACAAATTGTTCAAAAGAAATAGATCTACAAATCCAGATATAAACTGGGAGACAAACTCTGCAGTGAGTGAGAGATTAAACAGATTCTTAACCAACCTAGCTGACAACTTTATCATCCAAAAGGTAGAGGAGGGAACTAGAAGTAAAGCTATACTGACCTAATCCTTACTAATCAAGCAGAAGTGATATAAGGAGTTGAAGTTGCGGGAACCTTGGGCGAAAATGACCACGTCATACTGGAATTTAATATAACACAAACACTAGCAACAGAAAACAATCCAAACAGTGTCTTAAACTTCAAAAGAGCTGACTTTAACAAACTCAGAGAGAACCTAGGAAAGATCCCATGGATGAAAATCCTAAAGGGGAAAACAATCCAAGAAGTGTGTGAAACTCTGAAAAATGCAATCATAAAAGCTCAGACCAGCACAATACCATTGAAAAAGAAAAACAAGAAGAAATCAGCATGGCTGCATAAAGATCTCTTTGACAAACTGAAAGACAAAAAGGACAAATACAAAAAATGGAAAGAGGGGCACATAACTAAGGACAATTATCAGCAGACAGCCAGAACATGCAAAGATGAAGCCAGGAAAGCAAAGACTCAAAATGAACAAAGACTTGCAACAGAAATCAAGCACAATAAAAAAAGTTTCTTTCAACATATTAATAACAAGAAAAAAGTCAAGGAATCTGTAGGTCCACTAAAGAGAGATGATGGCAAGAAAGTAACAGGCAGTAGGGAGAAAGCAGAGCTGCTTAATTCATTCTTTGCATCAGTCTTCACACAAAAAGAAATTTTTGCCCAAAAAAACAGTGTAAAAGACAAACTAGAAATAAAAATTAAAATAAGCAAGAAAATGGTAAGAGAACACCTATCTGACCTTGACGAATATAAATCATCAGATTAAATCCCAGAGTTCTGAAGGAGCTGGCAGATGTTATCTCAGAACCCTTGCACCATATCTTTCAAAAATACTGGAGCACCGGGGAAGTATCTGATGATTGGAAAAGGTCTGATGTGCTTCCCATCTTCAAGAAAGGGAAAAACAAACCCAGGAAACTACAGACCAATCAGTCTAACATCAATACCTGGGAAGATCCTGGAAAAGATAATAAAAAACAGAACTGAAAACAACTAGAAGCAAACAAAGTTATAACTAGTAGCCAGCACATGTTTGTCAAAAGCGATCATGCCAAACCAATCTCATTTCATTCTTTGATAAAGTGACTAAATTAGTAAACCAGCGAAATGCTGTGGACATTTTGAGCACATATCTACATAAAAGAAGATACTTAGACTTCAGTAAAGCATTTGACAAAGTAGACCACAACCTGCTGCTTAGTAAGCTAGAAAAAGGTGGGATAGACAACAACACCATCAGATGGATCTGTAGCTGGCTGACAAACCGTACTCAGCAAGTAGTCCTCAATAGTACTACATCCACATGGAGAGAAGTAAGCAGTGGGGTATCACAAGGCTCCGTCTTAGGCCCTATACTCTTCAAATATCTTCATAAATGACTTAGATGAGGGAATTGAAGGAGAACTCATCAAATTTGCAGTATTAGTACTACTTTAAATAGTAAGACCACACCACTAGTAAGACCACACCTGAAATACTGCAACCAATTTTGGTCACCATACTACAAAAAAAATGTTGAGACCTTGGAAAAAGTTCAGAGAAGAGCAACTAAAATGATCAAAGGCCTGGAGACTAAAACATTTGAAGAATGGCTGCAGGACTTGGGTTTGGCTTGGGACTTGGGTTCTTAACAGTGAGGACAATTAACCAGTTGAACAACCTATCTTCAGAAATCGTGGGCACTCCATCACTGGAGGTGTTTAAGAGACTGGACAGTCACTTTTCTGAAATGGTATAGGTCAGTGGTAGCAAACCTATGGCATGGGTGGCAGAGGTGGCACTCGGAGTCCTCTCTGTGGGCACATGTACTGTTGCCCCAGCCTTGCCTCCCCCGTGACACCCTCCTCACCAGCAGCCCTCCTGGAGAAGGGTTGCTCCCGAGTATGGCCCATGCAGAGCAGTGCAGTCAAGGATATGGCAGCCAGGCAGCATAGACAAGACTCTGCCCTCATGCCCCATCATGCACAGATGATGCTGTGGGGTGTGGGCAGAGGGCATGGCTGCCATGGCACTACTGGGCGATCTGCAGCGGGCCCTGGAGGCAGTGAGTGGTCCTACGGGCAGGTGGGGAGGGGGTGGAGCAGGGGGTTGAGTGGGGCAGGGGCAGCTTTTGGGCACTCAGTCTCTAAAAGGTTTGCCATCACTGGTATAGGTTCTCCTGCTCGAGCAGGGGCTAGATTAGAAGACCTCCAAAGTTCTGTTCTACTCTTATATTTTCTCTTTTGTTTTTTTCCTTTTCCTTGCAAAAAGAAGAGCAGGTGGTATGCCCATAAGTTTGCATTTCTTTTTATTTTCTGTTTTATTTTTACAAGTGGTCAATTGTTCAACCACAACCATTCTCCCTCTACAAATGCCTGGCTTGGCCTGATATTCCTATTGGCCATTATGTGTTCTTAAGAAACTGAGGGCAAAGGGCAGGAGTGGTACTTTCTACTCAAACTGTTCACCTCTAAAAGATTCTTAAAAGTTGCTGTAAGTGAAAGATAGTGTAAACAATCCATTCTTTCAAAGCAACTGTTAGAATTCGGAGTTTCAGATATGAAGCAGCTTGTCTTTACAAAGTTCTGAGATCCAGACTATTATTAATGATTATTAGTACTGTGTGGTAGAGTGTTAAACAGCACATCAAAACAATATTACTTTGCATGCTTATTAACAACTACAGCACCATTAATTAATTAATAAATATATTTAATTCTGGGTCATGCAGTTCTATTATTCTGACTCCTCTTAATGAATTACTTACAGGCTAGATGAGGAGCCTATGGAAGAGGATCCTCTTCTGTAGCATACTCCTAGTTTGAAGCGCTCCAGTAAAATTCATCTTGTCTTTGAAGGCCTGCCAAGAAGCTTTCTCTTGTATACCTGCATTCTGCCCTAATTTTCTTCCAGAAAGGCAGCCATGTTGAAAAAAAGCCTAATCGCTCCATATTGTATGGATTATGCTCATGGAAAAAACACAGGTGAAGAACAGCAATATGAATTACAGACACACTAAGTGATCTTCCTTTTTTCCTCAATGGAAGCTACTATAAGAGGCAAGAAGCCAGGGAAGTATTTAGTTGTCAGCTTTTGCTGTTGTTTCAAAAGACTTAACAAGTATGTGATAATTTTTATTTAAAACTGGTGCTTAACATTTAATTACATTCAGACCATTCAGACTAAATTCTACTTTTTTTCAGTATTTTTGTGGTTCTCGCGTACTTGTGAATTAGAGTTCTTCAAAACTCACACCCTGAGGAGGGTTATTTTTCTTCTTGTGAAGGGTAAAAAGAAAACTAAGCTTTTATATATTCATTCAAACTATATAAATATGGAGAGGAAGAGTGTAAAAAAAGAAAGATAGCCAGAAAAGGGATTGGCTTTAGCATTGCCAAAGCCATTGGAAGAGTTTGTGCCTTTTAAAACACAATAGACTGATTCGGGCAGCTGTTTTTTCCTGATGTTTTTGAAGAAATATGCCTTAAAGAAAAGAACTCTGCAGCAGTTCCTCTGGCAGAGAAAGCCAAGAACTGCATTCTGCAAGAAAGATATTAGGATTTCTGCTAGCATGATTATTTAAAGCAAGCAAAAACCAGAGCTTCTCCCAAACAGTCTACAACCTTATTTTGATTTTTCTTTTCCTTGCTGTTTAATATTTTTTTTAAAAAAATAAGGTAGTTGCCAGTAATATGGCAAATGCTGTTGGGTTTTTTAAATTCATTGATTTTTTAAAAATCCAACATTTTCTTTTATACATTATGTATAACAAATTATCAATTTGGTTGTAAAGGCATGCACAGATACAATTGAAATTTTTTTTAAAAAAAATGGAATGCTTTTTATTAAAAGCAGATTGCATGGGATATTGCTTAATTTTTTAGGTATAAATATTTATGTACACTGTATAATGAATAATATAAATATATTCCAAGCTTGGGAAAATGACTCTTACAAATTATTAATTAAATATTTATAATGCATTTATATTAACTATATGAATAAATGGCATCCATCGGAAACTCCTTCCAAAAGATTTGTGGATTGAAAGGTTAAGAAAAGGAATCTAGTTGAAATGCCCATTTTCAAAGTGCAGTTTGGAATGTTTTTGAAATGCTCAACATTTTTTTAACAAAGTATTTCTGGCAAATATTTGTTTGCTACTGCTTTATGAAACATTAGTTTTTTAGATAATGCCAATTATTTGCATTGATTTTCATGTTTGGTTTTCATCTGAGAACTGTCTTTCCAGACATTATTTCTGGACATGCATAATTTCTCCCTAGATACTGAAATTTGCTCATTTCCAGATTTTTGTACAGAAAACACTTTTCTTAATCTTGTGCATGTTGCAAACTGATATGTATTATTTTCAGAATATTCTTTTCTCAAAAGGAAGGATTCCACAGTCATTTTTAAGATGAAAAATTGATTGTATAATTTCTCAGTTCTTCAACTGTAGTTATAATACCTAAAGAAAATGAGAAACTTTCCTCTCTTAAAAGTTGATTAGTATTATAAAGAATAATGTATATTCTCGATGGCACGGATTTTATTAAAGGCATTAATAATTTAAATAAGTTGAAAGATTGCAATATTCTGTTGGTACAGTTAATACTGAGCAAACACACGTTATTGTGGTTGAATAATCCCTTTAAAGATTACTTCAAATTAAATAATAATAATTATACTTGTTTTTTCAGAGTGTGTTAATCTTCACCATGATCTCTTTTCTTCTATATATTTTTTTAAATGAGAGCAGTTGACCCTCTGGGTGTAACTGCTTAATTTTTTAGTAAGGAAATTAGAAGAGATTAATTTTTTTCTAAAGCAACTTTACATTTTTAGTTATATTAACTGACAGAGTCAGTTTATAATTATGTAGTTTTGAAAAGCTTTTTTCTTGCATTCCATTATGACTGGAGTTGTGAGAATGTAAACATATATTTCAATGAGTACAGAAGAGTTTTAGGAGGTTATTTAATGCAAAAGTTGATAGACAATTTTTAAGACAGACACTACAGTATTAATGTTCATGCTAACCCAAATATATCCAAAAAATGAATTCTTTTTCACATTAGAACTGCCAGGAGCATATTCTTAAGAGTAAAATTTGATGGTAAAGATAAAATGTATATTTTATAAAATGCTTTGCTGCTGTGATCTAAATAGATTTTTGTGTGAAATTACTTGGTTTCATATTTTGTTAATTACAATTGATAAAAAGTGATGAATTCTGTGATCACTACAATCTCAAATTTATTTTATATTTGAACATCACAATTGTCAAGAATTTTTTTTGTCACAAAAAATATTATTATGTATAAATGGTTGTTAATATGATTGCTTTTAATGTTACTTTTAAGAGTCTTCACTTGGGATTGAAAAGCTTTTGTGAATCAGAAAGAATTTTGGTAAATATAATTTGCTCCATAATTTATTAATTTCTATTTAAAATAGATATATCATAATCTCACTCTAAGCCTGAAACTGGATTTCTTCTGCAGTTATTCTAGGAGAGAAAAGATATGTATGTTGGGAGGATAGAAATAATTTTATTTTAATAAAAGCATAGATAATGAAGGATTTGGGGCTCTGTGGATAAACAAAGAGCTCAATAAGGCAATGTATCTCCAATTACCAGTTTTTTATATTCTATAAGCAAGAGGTACCTAAGTTCCATCAGCAGGATTCTGTATGTTTTTTGATTAAACCAGTTTTGAAAGTACAAGGGTGACTTACTACAATTCTTCTACAACATAGGAGCATCTTAAAACAGAACTATCCAAAAGTGAGTTCTACATAATAGTACAGTATAATAGAATAGATCATGATTATTTTACTTTCAGTAGATTTCTTTTTATTAATCATGTATTAATAAAAGAATTAATCATGTATTAAAAAGAAATACATTTCTTTTTATTAATCATGTATTCATTCCATTTTTCCTTTTATAAAATTTGGGCCCACATTTTATACACATACATACATACATACATACATACATACATACATATACATATACATACATACATACATACATACACACACACATATTTTATATATATATATATATATATATATATATATATATATATATATATATATAAAATATGTGTGTATGTATGTATATATTTTTTAAAGTTTCCTATACCTTGAGATTGCATGGTCTGTTAGGTTGGCATGCCTGTATATTGTAAACAGATTTTGCATGTCACACTTGGCACCTCTGGAAAAAACTTTCTGATGGCATTAGGAAGATATATAAGTTGGGAAGCTTTGTGTCACACAAAAATAACAGGCATGGAAAATGGAAGTTTGATTGGCTGATCTGATTAAGTACATGTGCTTTTATTGTAAAATTTAAAAATGACAAAGGATTACTTAAATATTTGTCATTTTAAAGAAAATAATTGCATTTGTGACAAACCAATAATAGAATATATTGTACTTATGTGGAAATGTTTTAGGAAAACTATGCTGAACACATAAGTAAACTGCTTGTGTCAGTTTTTTTTAAGGGAGGGAGGAATAAAGAATTATGTTTTTATTTGTAAGGGATAAGGAAGTGCAAGTTATGCTAATTTCTGTTTATATTAATTTCCACATAAAATTGGAAATAACTTTAAGAGTTAACTCTTCAGCTCAGTGGTACTACTTTTTAAATTACTAGGAATTATATATCAAGATTTTGGCATTTAAACAATGATACTGTGCAAACACTGTGGATTTGAACCAAAATTTGTATCGGCATGAAATGAAGTTTCTTTATAGGGACAGTTAAGCTTGATTTCCTCCCAGCTTCATATTGTATTTGAGATAATTGAAAATAATGGGCCAGGGAAAATAATTTAACACTTGTGGTGCTTTACATTGGTGGCAACCCATATGTATGGGTTGAAAAACTATTAACCCAAGAATTTATTACAAATATGTAGTATGAAAAGTTGTAACATTATTATATTATGCTTTATGCCGAAACGTGCTCAACATGTCATCATTGATAGCAGCTACCAGTTTACTCTGTAATTTATACCAAGTTTCATTCTTCATTGTGTGAACCCTTTAAATTATAGTAGCATATTCTTTGTACTTAAATTTTGTTATGACTTTTTTCTTAGTAGATTTGAAAATTGGGTTATTTTTTCTATGTGTCTCTCATTCCTGTTTTTTGTTATATTGTCTTCCTTTTTTTTAATCCAATGGTGTTTTTCTCTAACTATACCAATATCAGTCTCAACTTTAATAGAAGTTCAGTATTTTGTACCACATTATGACAACTTATTATTGTGGTGTAAATAAAAAGATAAAATGAATTATAAAATTGTCTGTATTGTGGCTAATAACAGTTGTCTTCTCTTTTCCTTTGTCAATTCATTTTTGTATGTGAATTCTAAAATGTAATTTGAAAAACTGCCAAATTTTGAGTATGTCTTGCAAACAGATGGCACCTGGCAGCAATTTCAGTTGAAGACATTATGCAGCAAGTTCCATTTTTCTCTTCATCATGCATATTTTTTCCTGATAAAAAGATGAAAGAAATGAAAGCAAAATATAGACAATTCACATGATTGAAGAAGTACAGTGCAACAGGGGGAAAATGCTGGCTCACAGAAATTAAATGTCTTCAGAAAAATGTTTAGATAGGCAAGTATCTAAGTTAGTGAGACTAAGTCCCTATGAAAAAAAAACCTTGACTCCATTTGATAGGTTCTTTTACTAAGGGTTAGTAGTTAGTGGTTGCAACAAAAGCAAGGCAAGGTCTGGATATTCCCACACAAAGGTACAAAGTTTTCCACTCATTCATGGCCCTACCCCCTGACTGGACCATCAGTGTCCAATGACAATCCTGGTTTGATGTTTTGGGAACTACTTTGAATGTAGGTGTGTCTCGGGGAGGCTTTGCATTTTTTCCCAGGCCAGGCATCCTTGAGATGGTGGAATCTGGCTGCCTAGCACCTCTGGTTCCTGTCAGTAGCCTTCCTCTGCCCTTACACCCTTCCTCTCACCACCTGCATAATTTCCTGAATTAACATGGCCACAGAGGAAGCATGGTTACCATGGGAAGAGAAGATGCTATTAAACTAAATTACCTTAAACCAGTGATGGTGAAACCTTTAGAGACTGATTGCCCAAAAACTGGCCCTGCCCCCACTCCACCCCCTGCCCTGCCCCCATTGTCCTTGGCTACGCTGCTCCATGTGGGCCATGCTCAGGAGCAACTCTCCTTCAGGAGGGCTGCTGGAGAGGAGGGGGTTGTGGGGGGAGGTGAAGCTGGGGCAACCAGAGGGCTCCGAGTGCTGCCTCTGGCACCCGTGCCATAGGTTCACCACCACTGCCTTAAACTAAGACGAGAGGTGGAGAGGGAAAGATAAGTCAGAAAAATAAAAAAAAGACTGGAGAAGAGAAAAGGAGAAGAAAGATCTGCGAAGCAGAGAGGAGAATCAGCTGTGGGGAGGAGAGGAAAGTCGATGGAGGGCAGCGCAACAACAGGCAGAGAGGAGAAAAAGGAGAGCCAGTGAAATAGTGGAGCAGGGAGGAGAGCCAGACAGGTAGAGAAGAGGAGAGCTTACTGTAAACTATCCAGGCAGCCCTGTTTGCTGAAGAAAGTAGAACACTGGGGTAACGAACCAGCAAATGGGAGCCATATGGCTGTGGAGCTGTTGGTGGGGGTGGTGGAATGCTGCAGCACAGTAGATGGGGTGCTGCGAGCAGCAGCAGACAATGGTACTGCAGCAGACTGGGTACTGCAAACAAAAGCAGACCACTAGATCGGGGACTGTAAAAGTCAGCGGACGAGTAGGCCGGGGACTGTGAATGGCAACTACACAACAGACACTTGGAAAAAGAAATCAATGTTATTTTGATTTGCGAAACATAAGATAGAAAAAAAATAGGCATAATTACCTAGAACAAAGAAGGTAGAAGCATGGTTAACAGCAAAGCACATCCACCAACCATAAAAGAGGGATTTTCAAACAATAAATTCATGGAACTGGAGACGGATATTATTGTGGTATGCAATACATGTTCCATGTTATGTGCTTAGGCCAAAAGAACACCCAAATTATACATGCATTAAATGTAAACCATGTGAACTACTAGATGAAAAAGTAAGGGATCTAAAGGCAACTCTAACCAAACTCCAACCTATGAAAGAAAGCTATACCCAAACCGAACCAAATAATGGACAAACAACTCCCATAGGATTTCATCCTACTGATAAACCCTTGGAGGAAGACAAATGGAGGTATGTCACACATAGAAGGAAACACAACAATCAAAGGAAGATGCAGCTTACATCTAACAAACCCCTACTGCCCAATCTAACCCAACAAGAAGCAGCCCCATTAAAACTGAGCAATCAATTTCTCCCCCTAGATGGAAATACACAGATCCCCTCAAAGAAAATATGCAGACACCTAGCAAAGAAACACCACCAAATATCCCTTTAAAAAGTCAGATCAACAAACACACCTGAGACAAACAGAAAAGCACCTCAGACTGCACCCCCCTCCAAAAAAAAGGTGAGTGCTGGTGACTGGAGATTCTATTCTCAAAGAAACAGAATCAGCTTTCTGCAGACTGGACATACAATCAAGGGAGGTATTGTTTTCTCCCTGGAGCAAAAATCAAAGACATGGCTGAGAACCTTCACATTGGGACAAATGACACAACAAAGAACCTGAGCATAATACTGAGATTGTCAAAGCAAGAATATTCAATATTAGCAGCATTTTGTTAATCAGACACATGACAGAGAGACTATAAGCAACTAGGCAATAAAGTTAAGAAGTTAGCAACACAATTAGTGTTCTCATCAGTACTCCCAACAAAACCCATTGAGGGAAAAAAGAATTCTAGAAATAAACCACTGGCTAAAGGGTTGGTGTTGCCAAGAAAATTTTGGTTTCCTGGACCATGGTCTGCATTTCCTAGGTGACGGACTCTGGGCAAGAGATGGGCTGCACCTCATAAAAATAGGAAAAATGTACTCGGAAAAAGACTGGCCCAAAGAAGGCATTTTACAAGTTATGGCACTGTATTCATTATTCTAGTACCAGTTAACTAAAGTCTGTCTAATTGTATTGCTATTTCTTTCAATTTGATATTTGTTACATTTTTAGAGCCATGGTTTTGTGACTATATTTGACTTTTAAAAAAGTGATTTCATTAAAGATTTTCATCATTCTGCCAAGTCTTCTGTTTTTCTCCTATTTAAATGAATGATTATGGATTACATTCAGTACTAAAGTTTTTGAAAACTTATACAATTGTTACATATCAGCTAAAAGGCTACATTTTTTTCTACTGGCAGATACATCAACAGTGGTTAGAATATATTACAAGTACACTTGAAAAATAGGCAGTTGATAGGCTCTCCATTCAGCAGTGGTTAGCAGAATAGCAGAATCAGAAGGGACCTTAGAGGTCTTCTAGTCCAACCCCCTGTTCAAGCAAGAAACCCTATACCAT